TACCTCAACATGTTCCTCATTACATCCTAAATTAGTTCAAAAAATATGTGATTGATATACCAAAAAAATTGTATTCTTGAAATGTATACTTTATAAGTCTTTTTAATAAATATTTTTAATGAATAAGAATATATTCTTAATGAATAAGAATATATTTTTAATTTGCGATTTCTGCGCCGCAACTCGCTTTTCGCGTGTGCGACATGCATGCAATACAATGCACATGTTTCTTCATTTGCCGCTACCATTCTTATCTTTTCTGGTATTCAATATTTATATATATCATAAAATGTATATAAAGGACTTGTTACTATTAACGTAAGATCTATAGTATATTTTTTCTCTTAGCAGTAGTGCGGAAAAGAGGACGCTGCTCAGACACAAGTTCTCTGATTGTGTGTATTTGAGCTGCATCCTCTTTCTGACATCACTAGTTATCAGTTTAATTTTAAACTGAATTTAAAATAATTTATTTAATCATCTGGATTTCTTGTCAATAATTAAATTTATTTGACTTCAGCAAAATTTATTAAATTCAAAAAAACATTTTTCTCTGTATGTAAAGAATATCTATTATAACAAGAGTATTTAATAAGAATATTTCTTTAGAAGATTTTCCTCTTAATTTAAGAGGATTCTCTTGACGCCTATTTTAGTGGAATATGTTCTAAAGATAAGTGGCATATTCTCAAGTTGAAAATATAATTTTTTCGGTGTACTATATATATGCTACTTAAAGGATTAATTTAGATTATATCCATATGTATTATAGCATATGTTTTCACAATTATTTAAGAAGAAATTTAAAAAATTATATATGCGTTGCATATAAAAACATATATTCGGTATACAAACTGCTAAATCAAGCAACGCGATATAAAATATGCGAAAAAATATACTGGATATAATCTAAATTAATCCTGAAAATAGCATATAAAGCACTTCAACGATATATCTTGACCGATTTAGAATGTATTGTAGACGTTTCAAGAGTTATAAGATCTTCTATGGATATTCAACAAATATCTTTAGGACTTTGAAATATAATCTCCTGAGGATATATCTAGGCTTTATGTGAGGCGTTCATTTACTATTTCTCAGAATATCCTCAGAATGTACGAGGATTACAAACAGATATTCTCAAGGTATCTCCTATATCCGTGCAGGACATCCTTAAGAGATCCAAAAGACGTTCGTGTGCTGTTTGGATATGTTTTCAGGATTATTTAAGAAGAAATTTAAAAAATTATATATGCGTTACAGTATGAATGACTATTTGCTGACTAATGGCCGACATTTTTTAGTCAACTTGAAGTCGTCTTTTTAAGTCGACGTTTATTATTCTGGCTGTTTTTTGTGTGTGAGTGTATATTCACCAAGTAGTTACTAAAGATATCTAATGGATAAATAGAAATATTCATATACTTCCAAGAGCTTCACGCCTCGCCGCTAGGTGGCGAAAAGAAAAACGCTTAACCCGAAAATGGAATTCATCTAAGACACCCAGACAACAGGATATTTTATCGACATTCATTTTATATCTATTTTACGTCTTTACATCCATGGACATGAAATGATCATTCATCGTGCATCCGATTCGAGATATTCATTAACAGCCAATATTTGGACGTCCACAAAATGTCCGATCTTGGACAAAATTTTGCGCGAGCACGCAAGGATGTATTAGTTCGTTTACTGCTATGCGACGTGCGATGCGTTATCTTTTTCGTATTTAAATTTTAGTTATGAGAATTATATAAAGTTTGCAAACAGTAACAAATAAGATTAAAAATATACTATTCAATTTAATTTCTGATCTCAATGCAGGAGTTTCAGATATTAAATTGATTTTGTAAATCGGACAAGTAAATGTTCGACAAATAAACGAAAATAATCCGTTCATTACCTATTTAAAATGTAAAGTACAATATGCAAATATAAATTATAAATAAAACTTTTATATGAAATGATAGAATAATTTTTTGAAATATTCTATCATTTAGGGATTAAAGCATGTCCCTCAATTTCATAAACAGATATACCACGGACGTCCACTGAATATCCGAAGAACGTAAAACGAATCATTTGTGGATATCCTCAATATACTTAATGATCATCTTATGGATGTCCTTCGGATATTCGTTATATTTTATGTTATATTTTAAAAATCATTAACTTAAAAATCATTAACTTAACATAAAAGTAATTATTACAAATTATTAATATTTACAGAGTGATATATAAAAATAATATAAAAAAGTTAAAAAAATTACTTCAAATTTCACTTTAAGGGTCGGAACATGCGGCGTAACTTGCGTATTCTAGTACTTTTTAATTGAAGTTATCACAGTATAAGTATATAGACACAGTAATGTGTCACTTCGGTGTCGACACTTTGAGGTTGAATGGTGCTTATGCCAAGTCACATGACCCATCGCCATATTGGAAATTGTAACTTAGCGCGTAAATTAGAATTCTCTCTCATAAAATCCAAAGTTATTGTATAAGTGAATAAACAGAATGCAATTGTTAATCGCATTAAAATTTGTTTAGAACGAGATTATAGCTTTTTAAGTAATGTTAATACATATATTTAAGAGGTTAAATAAATCGCAAAAGCACAAGATGCATATTATACATATTTAAATATCAATTACCTTTAGACATTTTTATTTTTTCTGTGGTTAACACAAAATTTAAATTTTATCTTTATTACTTAATATTTTAATATCACAGCATAACGTGTACAGATAGCATGTGATACATACGTAGCCATATTGAAAATTGTACAATTGACGCATGCGCACTCAAAATTGCGAGAGTTCTTTAGAGAACAAAGAAGTGTCCCTACTGTATTTACTTATACTGTGAAATTATATCATTTTGAAAGTCGGCATTCACATGGGGCGTATTGTGCGGAATGCGTAACAAATGCAACCAATTGTAGATTAGATTTTCCGTTGTATACTTTAATGAAAATGCTAAGAAGATTTGCGATTGGTCTTCATAACCTACGCGTCTCGAAAAGTACGCATCATGAGGAACCGATACTCTGCATACAAGTATGTGTAAAGCGGAATGTATGTAATATTTATAAAGTTAAAAAGATTGAAGTATATATTTACTTCAATCTTTTTAACTTTAAAACAGTACATATGTTCTTGAGGGCACGTTAAGGATGATCGATGATACCAGTAGGCTTACTATTCAAAAAAATATTAATTAAATCTATTATTAATGCTAATTATGTTATAATAATTTAGATAAAATTAAAATTTAAAGTTAAAATTTGAATATTAATATTTACATATTTAGAAAGTAATTTAGAGGTTTTAACCCACAGAAAAGTATTTAATATATAATGGATCCTAACTTAGTATTAATAAAAAGTGGAAGAAGATTTGATCGTTATTCATACTTTATTAAAACTTTTTGACAATGCCTTTTCAACCTACACTATCCGTCTTGAATAATACTGAACGACACGCCCAGGTAGCACATATTCGTTTCACAAATGTTTCTTCGAAACGTTTTATAACCGACTTTTGAAAACGTTTTTGATTGATTAAAATGTCCACTTGAAGAACGTTAAGGGATACATTTCTTTTCTGTTAAAAAAAAAAACGTTTCAAAAATGTTTAAAATACGTTTAAAATACGTTTTTTCCTTTTATTCGTCAAACGTTTGTTTTTTATGGAATTAAAATAATGCATTCATACATACTCTTTAAAATGAATCAGTATATTATTACTGAAAACAGTAAACAGAGTTACTGATACAGCAGTTATAAGTTATTATAGCACTGTAAATTGATAATATTTTACTGAAAGAATTAATAATATTGACTGTTTTAATCAATAATATTAATTTACCTATCTTGTATAAAATTAAACATTTTATTTATATTTACATGCATATTAGAACATGAATGTTAAATAGATGATGATTTATTTTACATCTTTAATATATAATGAAAAGATCATTTTCGTTTATTCGCTGGACATGTCCGACTTATAAAATCGATTTAATATCTGAAATTTGAAATTAATAAAAATTAGTTTCTATTTTGTCTATGGAAACGTAAAATATACGTTTCCTTAACTATGGTTTTAAAAGCATTTCTATAGAAACGTTTTTTAATTAATTCTTTACAGTTAAAAAATATTGGATACATTTAAGAAACGTATATAAAACGACTGTATGCTTCCTGGGCGCTTACTAATACACACGCTTACTAATACATCAGCGTTTCTTCCGCCAAAAATTGGATTTGGCATAACGACAATAGCATAAAGAACGTAAGACAACTAGACGGAAGCTGATACTTAAATGAAACGATGTGATTGGTCGGCGCAAGTTACGCTTACGCAAGTTACGCCGCATGTGACGGCACCCTAAAAACAAATATTTCGATAGAAATATACGTTCTAGAGGAAAATTTTATAAACACTTATGAGTTTAATTTTATCTGCTCTATATGTTTACGAGAGATTGCCTATTTTCATCAAAATACCTATAATGTACATATCTCAAAATATTTATAAATATTTATAATATACATGTGACGAATAGAAAAGAAAAATACTCTAAAGTTTAAAATACTCTAAATTGGCAGATTTTAGAGTGAAAAAATTAAATTAAGAAAAGATAAGATTTTTTGATACTTTTCTTTCTGCTTACTTTTTATACTAATATTTTATATAAAAATTATTATTCTATAATTATATTTGTATATGTATGCTTCGGATAATATAAAAATTTCATTTATTTTTACAAATAAATTATTAATTAGTTTATAAATAAAATGGGCTAAAAATGTTTTTAATTAATGAATATTTTTTTTATACTTAATGTGTAAAACATTTTAGATTATTTTTAAAAATATCCGAGCAGAAAAGGTCTAACAGCATCTTTTTTCTCGTAAAACATAAATTTAATACTTTATTAAAGCTGCGTTCAATGCGCATGCGTGGAAAAACGTCTTTGAGAAGAACACTATGTTTGTTCCGTAACTCCGGTCGACATTTAATCGGAGTTTGGTCGAAGCGGCCTTCAGATCGAGTCCCATATATCGTAGACCCAAAACCCTAAGTCCCGCAATACGCTGAGATTTTTTTTGTGGTATCGTAAGCAAATTATAGTAAATTACTAGAAATACTGCCTGCTGTTGAGTGTATTTCTAGTAATTTACTAGCACATGTGATCTAACAAGAACGGCATAATATCAGAGAAGTCGTCACTTATAATAAAGTTTACTACCGTGCTTTTGATCAGTCCAGTGCGGTTTGGTGTAATGAGTGCAGTGCGTTGAATGTCAAACGGTGAATGTGAGTGATTATAACTTAGCGCAGTTAAGACGAGCAGTAGCGGATATGGTCATGTTGGTCGTATATTGCATTTAGGTAGTGTGATTACATATTTGTAGTATATTTTCTTTTTAGATTGAGCATAACATATCTTATGTACAAATTAATTGAGGAGTTTATTTTTAAGTGATTAGTGTGTACTTTTTTATGTTTTCTTCTTTTTTACTTGTTTTCATTAGTGCTGAGAAAATGTGATTTTTGCAGATAAAAAATGATTTTATTTCTCTTCGCATCAAACTGTCACGTTATATGGTATGATTCTATTGAATTGTATTTTATTATCTTATTCCACACACACATACACACACACACACACATATTTTAAGCGCTAGTTCTTAGATGTATCGATCGGCTTCGTCTCTCTCCCTCTCTCTCTCCCTCTCTCTCACATTCTCACTCCTTCTCTCTCTCTCTCTCTCTCTCTCTCTCTCTCTCTCTCTCTCTCTCTCTCTCTATTCCTCAAACGTATGCAATCAGCTTACGTCAACTATTTGTAATTTCTATTATTTTTCCTGAAATATGATATACATATATTTAAAATCAATAGTTTAAAACATAAATTTATATAAAAATTATTTTTTTATTTATGTAACAAAAAAATACGCTACTCTGATCTCAATTTTATTTTGTATTAAAATTTTATATTTTTCCTATAAAAATTACAGTTGAAAATAGTATTGGGACGAATACTATTTTCTCACTTACTGTTAATAATAATTTCTGTTAACTAAATTCTTTTTTCCATTTTTTAAGATTATAAATTAAAAAGATTTGAAATCATGTTAAGAATAAAATATAATTGTATAATTTATTGTATAATTTAAATCTCATCCTAAGATTATAAGAAAATTTTACAAAAATATCAAGGGATTTTATAATTAATACTTCAAAATTATGATTAATAACTATATTTATTATCTTATTTTTGCCGAATTGTATTGCTTTGTCTTTGTTGATGGTTATATTAACATTTTGATTTTATTAACATTTTTATAACATCTTTACTATATTTTTTGCAATTTTTACATTATTTTTTCTAGAACATCAGAAATTGATTATAAACATGTACACATTTATACTTATTGTTAGTGGTTAAACCTTATTCCTTAATCTAATCGCAAAAGTGTATTACATTATGTGTATTACAATACATAACAAAAAGGCAGATAAATAGATAAATAAATCATATATACATATATATGTATGCATATATGTATGTATGTATGTACGTACGTACGTATATATGTATGTATGTATGTATGTATGTATGTGTGTGTGTGTGTGTGTGTGTGTGTGTGTGTGTGTGTGTGTGTGTGTGTGTGTGTGTGTGTGTATGTATGTATGTACGTACGTACGTACGTATGTATGTATGTATGTATGTATGTATGTATGTATGTATGTATGTATGTATATATGCATGTATGTATGTATGTAGATATATGTGTTTATGGAAAAAGAGAGAGAAAGAAAAAAATTAAAAAAAAAAAGGAAGAAAAAGCAGAAAGAGAAAGAAAGAGTGCTATTTCATATTGCTATCTCAAAGTAAATTAGGATCTGGCATATTTAATAGATATGATTATACGAAACTAGAGAATAAAACATATACATCATAAACATACAAATTATATGTTAAATGTTACGACTTGCAATAAAAAGATTGTAAGAATAATTTAATGAAAAACAGAAAACTATTTAATAATATAACAATAAATTAAATTGATTGTATTTATTTTAAACGAACTTGTAATGTTTTAAGCCAGAAAAACAGACGAAGAGAAAAAAAGAGAAAAAAAGAAAATCACATAATATTATTTTGACAAATTTTAAAATAATTAATATTTAAAATTAAATTAATTTTAAATATTTTAAAATTAAATTAATTCATTAGACTGATGTGAAAGACTTATCTGAAAAAAATTAAAAAATGAAATTGTATATAAGAGAAGGATATATATTTTTTAATATATTACAAATATATTTTTATAGTACATTATAGTATATTATAATATTTTTCAGCAAAAAAAGATTTCATATAATATAAGAATTTGATTTCTCTAAATTAAAAGTTTATTATTATACAGAACGAAAGATATTTAACCTTATGATTTATTATCTTTATTAAGCGTTCAATTGCCTAAAAATGTTTTTAACAAAGTTTCATAATTTCAGGGAAAAATATAATGCATATAACAAAACTTTAATAACATGTTTTTTTAACAATAAGTTAACATTTTTCTTTTCTATTTTTCTTATGTAAGAAAAAGTAAAATCATATATTTTTTTATATAAATCAATTTTCCTTATTAACATCAAGTGTTAAAATAGAATAAAAAAAATAGTTTTCATGAAATATTTTATAATTTATTTAGATATCTTGTGATATTGTGATATTGTGATATAAAATATATGATAATTTTGTGAAGTACTTATATGATTATATATATATATATATATATATATATATATATATATATATATTTATTAACCAAGATTTTTACAAAAAGAATCAGAACTGAATTAATTCTGAATTAATAATTATATAAAGAGATAATTATACTTAAAAAATATGCAATTAAATTTTGCAAGTGCAATATCGTATTCCAATAAAAATGAATTCATGAATTGATTCTATTAATTATTCTATGGAGAATTTGCTATAATAAAATTTGTTATATTTGATTTGAAAATAAAATTATGAATTGATTCTACAAAATAAATTATATAAAATATAATATAAACTGTTGATTTTTTGATAATTCTATTTTAATATTTTTTAATGTAAAAATAATCATTCTATATATAAAAATATTAAGCTAGAATTATTAAAAAAGAATTATTAAAAAAAAATTTAATAATTCGAGCTTAATATTTTTATGGAATGATTATTTATTAAAACATTTGAAATTTTATTTTAATATGTGGTGACATTAATGCGTAAAATTTTATGATCTACTGAGATATTTACTACTAAAAAATTTGTAATTTATAAAATTTTTATGAACTACTGTATTTTATAAAACATTTTTGTATACAACATATCAAAATAAGTGAAACAAAAAATAAAATTTTAAAAATCAATAACATTAACAAATCATTATTATGTAAATATTATTTTATGTAACAATTTTTTGTTATTTTTATTAATTTTTAAATTGTATGCTATTAAAAGTTTATCACTAAATATTATTTGTAAAGGCGAGACAAGAGACAAGATTTGTAATAAAACAGTATGTTATTGACGAAATCTGACAAGAATAATAGTGTGTTTTCAGATATAGAATAAATATTTTGAATAGTATTTGTAAAAATAATTTTATTTTATTAATGAACAATCGAAAAATCGACGGATATCGAAAAAAATCGATAACAAAAGTAACAGTAAAATAACATTCATCATAATTTTATTTCTACATATACAATAATAAATTTCTAACTCAATAACAAATTTGAGTGGATTTATTACGTATGATTTTTCTTATTGAATCTTTATTCTATCTTTAGAATACATTTTTAAGTTTGTTAATTTTCTTGTAAAACATCTGTTTTATTTTTATTAATCGAAAATAATTTTCAAGTTGCGTCTAAAATATAAATATTTGCATCTAGAAAGAAATTTTTTCAAAATATAATTGAGTTAAACATACATTATCCAGGTACATCACGTCATTACTGTTTCTAAATTAACTTTACTCAATTATCAGAAATCGATAACTTTATTTAAAATAGGACACACACACACACAAGAAAAATGACTTTTTATATCGAATGTGATGATTTGATTAAATCCCCACAACATTTTGCTTTAAACTGCAAGTTATTAAAATATTAAATTTTTTTAAATTAAAATATTACGTTATTATCAATTAAATTATCTCTATATAATTATAATATATTAACTAGACAACCATATGACTATACGATATACAACCAATATTTTATATTTTGCCCAAGTAAAATAGATGTCTAAGCAAAATTGAGTAAAATTGATTAGCTTTTTTAAAAATGCGTCTTCAACATTTTTAAAAATAATTAATTGTTACAGTTGTGTGCAAGAGAGAAAAAGAGAAAATGAGAAGTAAAAAAGGAAATAACAAAGAGAATATTGTATTTTGTCTCTTTGAAGTTAAAAGAAAAAGCGAATATTCAAAGCAAATTTCCCCTTTACAGTTAATATTTATTAATAATATCTCTTATATATTTGTTCACTATCTCACATGTGTATGTGTGTGTGTGAACGTATACATAATTATGAATGAATGGAATAATTAGTCTAATTTCTATAAGTCTACTTTGCTTTTAATTTATTTTGAGAAAAAATATATATATAAATCAAATCAAATGAAATTTTTTAAATACATACATACAAGCTGCGAGTTATGCTATTGGACGTTTAACATAATATCGCTGTACAATTGTATATTAAAAGAAAAATTATTTAATTGAAAGTGATTTACAAAGATAAAAATCAAAGAATTAATGAAAACAAAGCAAGAAAACCACCGGCGTTGATAGTCGCGACGCGAATCACAAAAAAAATAATAAATTAATAGTGTATTACAATTTAAAGCATAATAATTAAGCGAATTTAAAGCATAATTGTTCAAGCGAAAGAAGGAATACAAAGTCGCAAAAATGTACACTCACCACAGGCATCACCACAGCCTGTCTCAATTTTATATTTGCGAATCATTTATTTATTATGTATATCTTAATTCGATTGTAAATTTTGATTTTTATTTCGATTCGACTGTAATTACTTATACGTTAGCAACTTTTTGACGACTCCGAATTTGACATTGCGTCTGCGTTTCTTTGTAATGAGAATTTTTTAAATTATTGTGTTTCTTTCAACAGTATTGAAAATGATTCAGAGAGGATCGAAACGTTTGCGATCAATTTTTGTATTATTTTTGCAACTTTGTATTCCTTCTTTCGCTTGAACATTATTATGCTTTAAATTATAATACACTATTAATTTATTATATTTTTTGTGATTCGCGTCGAACTTCAACGCAGTTTTTTTGACTGCATATTAATATGAACATCGAAATAATTTCATCAATTTAATTTTATTTGAGTTGCCGTTTATATAAAATAATTTTTTTTCTTGCGTTTACGATGTTATTTTTGTAGCAAATTAATTGTGTTTCTAGACTCTTTCTAAATTAATTTTAGACTATTTCGGATTACTTATTTTTTAACCATTAAAACCGATAGGAGACTTATTATATATAAAGCTTGAAAACAATTTT